CCATTCTCCCTACTCCTGGCCTCCAAGCACATCTGTTGGCCATACGCATTCCTCAAATACCAGGTGAGAGATCACAGGAGAGACAGCCAATGGCTAGGCTTCTCAGAGAAGTGCCTCCACTATCATCATGCCTAGAATCCAGCTCAGTAGGAGTGGGAATAAGAAAGCCAGTCCCTGGCATTGGGTATTTATCCTTTCAGTTTAAACTCCAGGAAGTCTATTAAGGAGAGCAGCTTCTAAAGAGGTCAGGTGTCCGAATAAATGCCTCTCCCCTTCTCCACAACCTCCTCCAGGAGCCACTTACTGGACACCAACTGGCTGACAGTGGGCGTCTCTGAGCAGGTAATTGGGATGGGAGCAGAGGCAGATGGCTTGGCCGCTGGGGCTGGGCTGGCGATGACCACAGCAGGCTGGGGCACGGCTGGCGTGGGCTGGATGGGTTGCATCTATAAGAAGAGAGCCAACAAGCCCCTATTGCCCACCTGCCCACCTCAGGGGGTCGGAGTCCCTGCATGGACCAGAGGCAGGGCCAAAATGGGCATGAATTTACATTCACTCAGCACACTCCTACCTGTGTCCTATCAAAAAGCAAAACTAAAAGCTACCTATCAACACCCGCCCAATGATAATGACCTCCAAAATAAGCACAACAACTTGACCCACCAAGCTAGAGTCTCGTAGCCACCTGTGAAACAGGAAGGTCAGAGGCTCAGAAAGCTTCAGTATACTTGGTCAAAGCTCCAACAAGTGTCTGCCCTTAGGATAACTGCTTTCAAATCTCTGCCCTCAAGGAGAAATCTGATTCTAGAGCTTCCCAGGCCCCAAGTGTCCATTAATAAGGAACCAGCGAATGACATCTGGGACCCCCCTAAAAAGAGATACTGTGCAGCCATTAAAAAGAGTAAAGTCATCTCTTAACTACTGACATGGAAAGAACTGAGTCATAGTGCTAAGTGGAAAAAAAAAAATCAGGTGGAAAAAAGTTTTATGGAATAATTTCTTTAAAAAATACATATGAATTTCCAGGGAAAAATCGTGAGGCATATAAAGCAAGTTGTCAACAGAAGTCATCTCTGGGTGTGGAATTAGAAGAGATTTTTACTTTTTTACATTACACATAATCTTCGAATTTTTATAAAAATCATTTATCATTTATAATCAAAAGAAACTATAAATAAATGAAATTAGTATTTTTAGTATTTTTTTTTTAAAGAGGTTCCTGAAAAGTTCAAATTTCCTCTAGGATGGGTCCTGTTCCCTGAATTCTACCTCCTGATAGCTCTCAAGTCCATTTCCTCTCCTTTCCCAGGGCCTTAGCCTTAGTGCAGAGTGCCTTGTCTCTTGCTAGAACTGTTTAAGCTGTCTCCTTAACGACTCAGGTCTCACCACAGTCCATTCTTGTTATCCCTGGATAACAAAGGGAATTTTTTTTCATGCTAATCTAATCAGCTATTTCTCTGCTAAGAACTCCCCCACGACACTTCACTAGCTAATAATAGTGATAATAAAACACCGTTTTTCAAGTGCTTTCTGTGTACCAGAGTGTTAATTGCCTATGTGTAATATATCTTTTAACACTCATAACCTTCTGCAGTTGGTCCTCTTACAATCTCTGTTTTATAGATGAGGCTTAGAGGTTATTCACAAGCTGAGAAGCAGCATATCACATTTGAGAACCTTGGGCTTCAATATTAGCTGGGAACTTCTTAGAAAGGGGAATTCTTGGGCCCCTCCTCAGACCTACTGAATAAGAAACTTTGGGTTGCAGCCTGGGAGTCTTGCCCTCCAGGTGCTTCTGACACACACTCAGGTTTGAGAACCCCTGCTCTGGAGTGCTATACTTCTTGCGATTTCCTAAAGGTAGCATACTCTCTCATCCAACTCATCCCTCTAGATTAGTTCAGTGATCCCCAGTCTGTCGATAGCTCCCTTCTCTGGGTTCCCTTATCATGCCCCTATCATAGTCTTTGTCAGGCTGCCTTGTAATTGCTTTCAATGCTGGGCTACCTAAGGCTAGGAAGGGCATCTTATTCATCTCTATATCTTCAGCACCTGATATATAGTAAGCCCTCAAAAACTGCTCCTAGAATAAACAAACAAATGAATAATCAAAGCCACAGTGCAGAGTGGAGGGGTGGAAGGATGAAGCGGGAAGAGGGAGGGGATGCAGAACTAACCTCCTAGGGCTTTTCTGGCAGTTTGTTCACCCTGGAGCTGATTAAGGCCCGGTTTACTTTGACCACCTCCTTCCTGACCTTCTCAGAATAGCACTGGCCTCTGAGGGCACACAGACACGTTTTGGGTGTATGTGGAAGAGGGATGGGGGGGATGCTGTTTCCCTGGGCAGAACATGTGTGACTCACATGGGCTTTCTACCCTGGAACCTACCCTCACTTTTGGGAGATTCTCTGCTTTCCCATGGGCTTCAGAAAATAATCTTGTCCTGCCTGCAATCTGGAGACAGGCAGCCCATGCCAGATAGTACAGCCTGCCCCCACCCCCCACCCCAGCCCTGGTACCTCACTCTTAGCAGGGGACTCAGGTGTGCTGGGCTTCCGGACAGCCACAGGTGGAGGCAGGGGGCTGCTGGCTAGGGTCGCGATCACCTGGCCCTGGGCGTTCAACAGCAGCTGGGGGGTCACAGCCTGGACCTGCAGGCTTTGCGCTGGTGCTGGGGCTGCCACGCTAGCTGAGTTCACTACCCACGGAAGTGTTCCAATAACCTGGGAGGAAACAAGGCAGGGACCCTAAAGGTGAGGGCAGTGTCCAGCTCCCCCAACCCAACTCTCTACACTGGCAGAGGAAGGGACTTAGATGAATCACTTAACCCTTCTGGGCCTTAATTTCTTCCTCAGTAAAGTGAAGGATTCGCACTCTAAGAGCTGTTTCCTTTATTCTATCTCCAGAGCTGTGATGGAGCCAAAATAAGTCGGTGTGTGGAGTCAGCAGACCTGGACGTGAATCCTCACCCTGCCACAGTTTAGCTCTGTGGCTTAATTTCTCTGAACCTCAGTCTTCTCCCGTAAAAAGTGGGAATAAAAATCTCCGCCTAATAAATTTGTACTCAAAACGAAGTGAGATAGTGTATGAGAAAACACCTAGCAAGAGCCTGGCCACAAAGTGGATGCTCCATAAATGAAGTGGGTGCTCACCTCAACTAGAGTGGGCACCTCTAAGGCAGAGTGGTGGCTATACCCCTGCCTGGCTTCAGCATCAGCAGAGAGTTGCCATACAGGAGATATGAACAGCAGCCTGACACCCTGTTTAAATTTCTATGACCTTCAGCCCAAGTTCTGGCCCCCCCAGCTAGCTTTTCCACAGCTGCCACCCCTCAACCCTGGCTTTGACCACTTGCCTGCCCCTGAGCGTTGGTGAGGATCTGACTGCTGATCCCTGGCATGCTGGGAATGGCGTTGGCAATGACTGGAGTGGTGGTGAGGGAGCCCAGGATCTGAGTCTGCCCCCCAATGGAAGCAGCACTGATCTGTGGGTGGAAGAAGAATCTTGCTCAGAGGCTGAGGGACAGGAAAGAGCCCAAGGCAGAGTGAAGAGGGCTCAGGGCATTGGGGTGGGGAGGTAGGGATGTGGGGCAGATATGAATGTGGGCTGCAGGCCCATGTCCACTAGCTGAATAGTATCTAGGGCTAGGGGTTGCAGGGGGTCAGCCGGGAAGGATGGGCCACGGCCATGGAAGAGTAACTCTGGCTAATCTTTCAGGCTAGGCCTAGGAGGGTAGAAGGGCTAGACAGGAGTAGCTGATGTGATTTTGGCCACATCTAACAACTCCACTGCCAAGCCAGGAGCCACATTGGACCAACATTGGCACAGGTCTGTGAGCCTCTAGCTCCACCTTAGTGACAGCTCACAAGTTTGCAGTCCCCAGACATCATCCCACCCTCTAAGGCTGGTCCAGTGGTTCAGGTTCTGGAGAATTTGCCCAGCCCTCTTGGCAGAAGTTGTCTGCTCTTGTTTGAGATGGACGGATTGGCAGCTGCAAGGAGAAGGCTTCAGAGGGAGCCCATCTCCGTTGACGTGTTGGAAAAGAGCCATATTCAGGGGGCTGGTCCTCCACCTCCTTCCTCCCCTGTCAGTTCCACCCTTGGCCCAAGATTCAGTTCATCCCTGGGTGAGGGCAGCGGCTTACGATTCCCGGGCTAAATGCGAAGCCTGCAGGATGGACGGTGATCTGTGGGGGGGTATCCACTGGCTTGGGGGTGGGGGCAGTAGCGGTGGCAGCAGTGGGCTGCGGTAGAATGGCAGGCGTGGTCTGCAGCAGCGGAGGGGTCTGGAACAGCGTCTGGGGCTGAGCTGGTGGCCGGGGCTGGGCGGGCGAGGAGGCCTGTACCGGTGGGGCAGCTTGTACGGGTGCCGGAAGGGCGGTATTCAGCACAGCAGCTGCTATGGAGCAAGGCAGAGACAAAGGTGCTCAAATGCCTAGTTGCAGCCCAGAGCAGCTCCAATCCCAAGGGATCTGGCACAAGAATGAGAGGGGGTTGGGGCAGTGGGGCAGAGCGGGGACAGGCAGCTGATTCCCTTGATCCTTGCAGGGGGCAGCACATGCCAACTTCTCTCATCCCCCCTCCCTTGGGCCTGGAGATGTGTAGGTTCAAAACCAGAAGCTGAATCTTCTTGCAGTCCTTCTCAGGAGGCTGGTCATGGGGTGAATTCTGGCGTGGGGGGAGAGGGGCAGTCTCAGACAGTTGGTTGAAGTAAGAGAGGCCTGCTGGGCCAGCGTGGTGTCATCGCCTAGAGTCCTGAGTTGGTGCAGCGTCTCTGTGGCTGGGTGCCTGGGACACTGGATCCAAACTCCAAGGCTGTTGCCCTGGGCGAGCTGCAGGTTCTGAGTCCAACATGGCAAGCCCGTGTGCAGGAATGGTAGTGTAGGGTGGTGAGGGGCCTGGTGCAGTCCTGGGGAGAGTTGCCGTTACCTTGGAGACTGGCTAAAGGTGGCTTGAAAATTCCCCCCGTAGGAGAAGTAGCGGTCAGTCCTGGGAGGGCAGCCACGGTTGCTGTAGGAATTGTCCACACGGCCAGCCCCTGCTGACCAGCCACTTGACCTGCAATACTGATGGGGATAAGAAGAGGTTGAGTAACTGCCCCTGCTGGAACCATAACTCCTGTCAGAACTGTGGCTAAGTTTTCCTGAGTCAAGACCTGCAAAAGCAAACAAGATTTCAAAAAGAAAAGAAAAAATAAAAAAATCAACATTGATAGCGCAAACACTGGGTCTCTCAGACCCAGTTGAGCACAAACAAAGCATTCTGAGGCAGTGGGGAAAAGGCCGCATGAAGTGGGGGAAGAGATACGCCCTGGCCAGAGGTCCAACCCTGAAAGGGGTGCCTAGATCGGACTATCCTGCCTTCAGAGAAGCATCTCAAAGCAAGGACAGGGCCTGGCCCTGTTCACAGGACAGTAAAGTGTGTACGGGCCTCTTCCACTACAGTCTGCTGCCTCCCAGGCCTTCCCTGGGCCCTTGCCCACAGGACCGGTGTTTTGTGGCCAGGAAGCAAGGGGGTGATGGAACCAAGTGGTCAAGAGCCGACAGAGGCCTCTGGGAATTTCCGATTAACGCTACCTTTAATGGATGCCTAGGAGATCTGTGCATATAGCGAAAGGTCTCAGGGAGCTCAGTACTCCTGGAGGATCCTGGAGGCAGCTTCTAACTTTGCCAGGGCTGTCCCCTGGCTCTAAACGAGAACTCTGTGAATAGTGCATTAACTCTTTCAGGCATCCACTAGATGGGCTGACAAGTGTATCCACTCATTTAGCCATTAGAGAAACAGAAAAGCCTGAGGCATGAAGAGTTAATGCGCTCTCTACAACCCTTGCTAGACCCAAGGAGATTACCTGGCAAATAACATCTACTTTTCTCAGTGGGCCTAATCTGGGGCAGGGGAGAGGCCAGGGGTGCCTAGTAGGGGATTCCCTCCCTCGAGCCACTGCCCCTTCCCTGTGCTGCCTCGTGAAGTTCCCAGATCCCATGGCTACCCCATCTTGGCAGTCCTATGCCTTGCTCTTGCCCATTGTTCTCTGTCCAGCTCCCTGGGTGGCTCTTACCTGGGGGGCAGCTTGTACAGCCAGTGATGTCAGGGTCTGAGAAGTCTGAGGCTGGCTTGGGGCTTGGCTGAAGGTGGTGACAGCCGGGGCAGGGCTCAAAGGGATTCCTGGGAGTGGCTTCACTTCACATGGCAATGAGAGAAAGAAGGACAAGGAGTGAGCCTGGTGTGAGCAGAGGGGTCACGGGACTGGACTGTCTTGTCTGTAGCTTGAACTGGCAATTCTCAGCCCCATATTGTGTTTTTGCATAACTGGAGACCAATCACTGGCTTCTCCTGGCCCAGCAAGTAACTTTTGAAATGCTACTGGTAGGGAGAAGAGGAGGCTAGAAAGCCTTGTGCCAGACCTAGGAGGTAAGCCTGTCTTTTCCCACATTTAAATGAAGAAAATGTAGGCCTAAACAGGTGGATACCAGTCTCTCATTTCCTGGCTTTATAGGATACTGTGACCAATGACATAGTAAGTAGAGGGGCCTAAAGTGAACATGTGTCAGGGAAGGAAGGAGCTAGAATCAATGGGAGCAGCTTCCCTTGGCTCATCTAGCAACTGCATAATTGCTCACCCCACCTCAGGACACTTTTTGGATACAGGTGCTGGCTTGGGGAAGGGGCAAAGATTCTTCAGGGTACGGTCCTTGAAATGACGGTCCCTGAAAATTGGACATATCTTTGCCACATTCAGGATCACAGTGGCTGTCTGAGTCAAGCAGCTATTCTCGGCCAGTCCCTGAGGTCTGAAGTCTGGAAGAGCAGCTTCCATGAACTTCTAAAGGAATTTTCTGTGAACGGAAGCTTTGCAGCCAGGTCATAACTTCCTCTTGCTGCCTTAATTTAGTGAGGTATTGGGGACCCACATCAGGAAGCCTCTTCAAAGCTACACAACAATGAGGAGAGGGGTTATTATTTAATATATGGTGAGGCATTAAAAGGAGTCTAAGTATTGGATGATGGGTATTAGACCAGATCAGTGGGCTCTTAATACTGGCTGGGCATAGATTTCAAGGCCCTAGTCTGGGCTTACTGAATCAGAATGTCTGGGGTGGAGGCAAGTAACCTCTCCTCTCTTTTTCCTTTCTAAAAATTAAAAGAAAAAAATTTTTCAATTACAGTTGACATACAATATTATATTAGTTTCAGGCATACATCATAGCGATTAGACATTTATATAACTTATGAAGTGATCACCCTGATAAATCTAGTACCCATCTAACATCATGTATGGTTATCATAATATTATTGATTATGAATCTTCTCTGAGGTTAATTCAATCCCTGAGCTGAGCTCTGCCACTCTCCTTTCATCTCACCCTGACTCATCCCAGTTTAGGTCCGGAAGTGACTGAAACCAGAACTAAAGTTCCAGAGACAAAGAGTACAGGATAGCCCTAGAAGTTGACTGGAAGTATAAGTTGTGGCCAGAGGCTGTCCCGTAGAAAGGAAGATGATAAAACTCTAAAGCCACCTAGGCCCCAGGGACTTATGCTGACTCCCCAGGGAACCACAGAAAGGCTCTCAGGTGGAGCAGTGCCAGATGGGAGGAATGGGCTCGTACCAGTTGCCTCTGCAGAGGAGTCTGGGTTGTCTGGCCCAGCTTCGTCAGCAGGTACATTGGCTTCAGCCGGACCTCTGCTCTGGGAGCCATCGCTGGCCACACCCTCCAGTCCTTTGCCCTCCTCCTCAGCAGGGATGTGGGCATCCACCCCAACTTCCAGCACACGGATGGTCTCATGGCCTGACATCACGATGACCTGCAAACAGAGGACAGGAATCACTGCTGGGAGAGGGGATGATATAGACCTCCCTGGGAACCAGAGCTCTGGGTATGGTTGGGGGAGAGAGGAAATGGCACCTCAGGATGAAGACCTCCTGTCCCAGCGACTGTGTGCTCTGTGAGAATTCCAGAGCTTGGGGCAAGCTGCAGCTCCTTGATTCCAGAGAATTTGCTGCTAGGAGAAAGTAGGCCCGGGGGGCAGGGGGAAGGGCCTGACACAAGCTGGAAAAAGTCCCATTGAGCCAGACCACTTGGGAATATTTATATTTGCTCCCTCTCATAGACTCGGTTCAGGGAGTGGGAAATGGCCTATCCCACAGCCTTGCAAGGATGTCCTTTGGCCTCTAGGACACTGGTGTATGGCTGTGAGGGCCCCTAACACAGTATCCACAGCTTAAGCTGGGCCAACAAGCAAATCCCACTTTACGTCTCCTGAAACCTTATAGAAGTTCCCTCAAAGGTAAATGGGTGGAAAACAGATGCTCCATAATGTTGAGTAACTTTTTCAGCTCATAATTTCTTTATTTCCAAAACTCTAGGGTAAAGGCCAAGATTTCCCTGCAAGCTAATTTCCTTAAACAAGGGTCAGGAATCCTGAAGACGCAGCCTCTCACCCCATCCCCCTGGACTGGAGCTTGTGCCCTGTGAGCCTATGGCTCCAGTTGTGCCATCTGCTGTGGGCCAGCTCTGACCTTGAAGATAGCCTGCATGTCCCAGTGATGCAGGCGGTCCCTGGGCCTCCTCAGAACACTTGATCTTCTTTCCCTGCTCAAACAGCCAGCATTCAGCTCTTTACCTGCAGCACTGAAATGCTTCCAATTGGGCCATTCAAGAATCAAGAACACTGTACGTTAAAAAGCTCTGTGTCGGGCCTCCCCTGCACTTGGCCTGTGCCTGAAACCACTCCCACGACACACTCCTTAAGCCTGAAAATTGGATCCAGCCAGAGCCTCGGCTGGAAAAAGTGACAATGTGATCCATCTAGGGAGCTGGAGTGAAATAAACCCCCCAAAGCAGTTGCCTTTTTCACTCGAACTTGACCTATGAGAGACTTCACTCCAATTACATTTTAGGAAATATTAATCTTTTTCTCCCTTTAAAAACTACATAAGTATTAAATGGTCATTGTAGAAAAATTAGAAAAAATATATAAGCAATGTCCTGATGTCCAAATCTTTCCCCATGTAAGCTTATACATATTTGCACATTTTAATTTCACTTTTTAGTCATAGCTTAAATCCCCAAACTCAGCCTCTGAGAAACCCTAACTGGCAACTACATCTGGATAGGTGAAGTGACCGTGAAGTTTGGTAAGAAACAATGAGGGGCTCTGTGGGGTCTTCCTACTTGCCCACACCACTTGGTCCATTACCCTCACTCTCCCACCTGACCCGGAAGATACCTGCTCATTGACAGTCAGAGATGACTCTGGGCCAGCTCCTGGATCCATGGTCACTTGTCAGGGTGGGGTTGGGGTCAACCCACACCTAGCACATCCTGTGGAGTGAAATGAGATAGGAAAAGCAAAGGCTGATGTGACAGTAATACAATTTCTATACCATCTCAAAAAGTTGGAAGTAGAATGGTAGGAAGAGAGAGAAGCTAAGTTCTCCCAAATATTTGTAGAAATAAATGAAACAGGATTCTAAGGATTTTAAAGTGTCCTAGGAGAACATACACCAGGGTAACAAGAGGAAAGAGAGGGCCAGGCATCTGTCCCTGGGCGTTCCTGAGTCCACTGGGAGAGAGCAGACTCAGCAGAACCCAAGGTGACCCAAGGTGACCCTGACCCAGAGTCTGACTCTGACTCAGAACCTCAGATGTGGATAAGGAGCACACTGGGTATCAGAGTGCTTCTCAAGGGAGGAGTCTGAGCAGACTTCCTGGAAGGGATGGTAAAGACAGGAATAAATTAAAACAGTAGTCTCAAACTTTAAAGTGCATGATCATCACCTGGAGCACTTACTAAAAAACACAGATCCCCCCAGCTTCCTCTGGATCAAATATCCTCAGAGAGTCCAATTCAGCACGTGGGGCCCACAGAATCACCCCTTAGGTGATTCCGTGGCAATGGCTCAAGGATCATACTGGCCTTTCACACTGGAGGCAGGACAACATCCTAGATGGTAGAGTAGTCTGACAAATGCAGTGAGGAGTGGGAGAAGCCCTTGTAAGAACAGGCTGTCTGGCTGGAGCCACAAACCATACAGTCAAAAGAAATAAAGGTAATAAAGGGGACAAATAGGTTTAAACACTTATATAGAAAAGAAGACAATTAACATTTGAGCGCCTACTCTGCTAAGCATTTTAGGTAACACTCATGTATCATTCATAGCAGCTGGGGGCAGGGGCATTATTTTCACCATATAGATGAGGAAACAAAGCTCAGAGAAATGTTCTAGATTCTCCACTTTCCCCTTTCTCTCCCTCTGCCATCCCAGGGTCATTTGTTTGTTTTCTTTTTTGTGTGTTTTTACTGAATGAGATAAAATCCATATAACATAAAATTCACCATTTTAACCATTTACAAATATAAAATTCAGTGGAATTTAGCACACTCATAATGTTGTGCAACCATCACCACTATTCGTTCCAGAGCATTTTCATCATCCCCAAGGGAAATCCCATACCCTTTTCCTGCCACCCTCAGTCCCTGGCAATCTGCTTTGTCTCTATGGATTTGCCTATTCTTGATATTTCCTATAAATGGAATCCTACAATATGTGTCTGGCTTCATTTACTCAGCAGAATGTTTTCAAGGTTCATCCATGTTGTAGCATATACCAGTACTTCATTCCTTTTTATAGCTCGATAATATTCCATTGTATGGGCTTTCTGCACTCTCTGGGGATGGCTCAGTGACAGATAAACCAAGATTTGATTTCCAAGATGGAAAGTCCATCAGACTCAGCTGTGACTTTACCCAGCACTCCACAGGCCTGTGCTAATCCACCACCTCCCCATACGAGTAGTTCCGAAAAGCAACTTATTAGTAACACTTAGAAAACGATTCAAGGAAAATAAGAACTTCATTTAATCCTTGTTACAGAATGGTAAAACGTCTTAGAAAATGAAGAAAACAATCAGAACTTTTCAGAGAAACCAGCATCTTCAACAGAAGAAAACTAGAATTTAAAGAATAATTTTAACATGTAGACAGTGAATTTGAAGAAAATATATATTCGAAAAATATATTCAAAAATGTCAATGCACGTGAACCTAAATCACTTGGTAGTGGGTCATGCAGTGGTCTCCAAAATGTTTTTGTGAATCAGAAGCTTTCCAAACAAGAATTAAATGAAGAAAAGGCAAAATTGGTAAAGCAGGTTGAAGAGAAAGAAGACCTTCTTCAGAGGCCAAAATTACAGTAGTCAAAATGTATAGGTCAAAGAATGACCTGTCTCAGCTACAGTTGTTAATGAAGAAGTGGTTAAGTTGTAGCCAGTTGTTGCTTTATGAGTTACAGTCAGCTATATCCGAGAACAAGAAACTCAGTTTTACTCAGTTAGACCACTGTTAGTTAGACGATAAACTGCTACACTATAACAGAAATGAAGAAGAATTTGTAGATGTTTTAGTCATCATGTTTTTCTTGAATATCTTTGAGAATCACAATGTAATAAAAAGCTACTTAATACATTTTAAAGATAAGAGAAGAAACCACTAGGGCTTAGAGAAAGGTATCCTGACGAACGTCAATTTAGGGCACTCTGTTATATAAATATAAACCAAGTTCTAAAATGAAAATTTAGCATTTTGAATAAATTTCTCAAAGAAAAGATTTTTTAAAACTATTAAACATTTTAAATAATAGTAAAAATAATTTGTGCAATTCTCATTAAATCCTGGAAGGGAGCCAGGGCCCACTCAGAGCCTCCTCTTTTGCCTTCTTTCTCTTTGAGTTTGAAAAACTCCTGAAGCAAACCTGGCATGGCACCTTGCTTGGCTAACGGATGACTCACTTACCCCAGCCTTCCTGTGCTAACATCTAAAACACAGGAAATCTCGGGGAGAGAAAGAACTGAGAGTGCTGAAGCATTTGCCTACGGCCTGAAAATCCAGAGATCCAGGACCATCCAGGACTCTCAGCAGAGCGGACTGAGATGAGTTAGAGGACCTGGTTCCACTTATCATTCTTCTTTGGGAACTGCTTTGGGCTTAGGGCGATGTTCCAAGACATCCAGGAGGAGCACTGGGAAATTGTAAACAGATCAGAACACCCTAGGATTGCCTGAGATCCTAGTAGGAAAAATCCTGAAATGCTTTGTCCTTTGTTTATTTGACAAATATTTCAGCGGCTTCTATGCTCTAGGTGTTGGGGAAACAGTGTGGGAAAAACACATTTCCCAGCTTCGTCAAGAATTCTACAGTCTAATAAGGGAGTCAAGGAAATAAAAAGGTAACTATAATACAGTATGTTTAAATGTCACTGTGGATGAGCAGAGAATGGTGGAGGATCCACAGAAGGGATTCTCAATGAAGTTTTGTGTGTTCCTTTCCCCTAGTTCTAGAGGAGCATGTGTTTCAGACATGAAATTTTATGTATAAGAATCTTGTGCCATGTAGAGGAAAATGGAATTTACATGGGATTCAGACTTTTAATTCAGACTCATTTCTGTGGTTTTAGTCACTCCGTTAACATTTAATGTAGTTGAGGTTTTCGAGGTGTAAAATACCTTCTCATTATACACTCATTTTGCGGGGTAGAGGGTACTCTGTGTGAAGGTAGTTGACTCCAAGGAATGGCTGATTGAGCTGAAATTAATATTACCGGTATTCAAATGAAAGAGTCACATTTGTTATGAGAAATTACCTTTCAAACTTTTGACATTGCAATTCTCTCAGGCTAGGTTGTTTATAGATATCAGTATCTCCAGTTCCATATAACTTTTGTATTTAAATTGTGTACCCACCTGCCTCCTGCAGAGCTGTCACTCAAGTAGGCCCACAAGGACTGGAAGCAAAAGATTGGTATAGAGGGATAGTTGGGGCTGAGCTGAATAGGGCAGACAATCTACTCTTCCCCTCATCCACAGACGGTCTCCCCAGCCTGACAACTACCAAATCTAAATCTCCAGCTTGGATCTCATCTGGGAACTTCATGCTCACATATCCAACAGCCTACTGGTTGCTCACATCATCTTATACTCAACATATTCAAAAGCAAACTCCTGATTTTCACCCCCAAATTTGCTCTATCTGCATGCAGCCTTCCCCATTTCAGCAAATGGCAGCCTTTATTTTTCACAGATGCTCAGGCCAAAAATCTTGCCAACACCCTTGCTTTCTCTCTTACATCTACCATTTACTCCTTCAGCAATCCTTGTTGGCTCTCCCTTCCAATATGCCCAGAATCTTCCCACTTCTTATCACTACTACCTCTGTCCACACAACTTTAGTACCTGGTGCGAAGAAATACCACATCCCCTCTAGCACACAAATATTACCTGCCCTGTTCTTAAATCATCAGACTCCAGGCGGGCTGCTACCTCGTTCAAGTTGTCATTGCTTGATGGCTTGTCTGCATATCCTCCCACCCTTCTCCATTTCTGGCCCCAGGACACAGATTTGCCTTCCCACCTGTTGAAGAATAATAATCACTGATGGTTTATTGGGACCCAGGCCCTTTACACACGGTATTACAGTAAGCACCTTCTGGAGACAGCTTTCTTTCATATTCTCAGCTCTAACATTTACTAGTTGTGGGACTCAGGACATACAATGTAACCTCTGTACCTCAGTTTCCTCATCAATAAAAATGAGAGTAATGGCACCTACTTCATAGGGCTATTGTGAGAATTGAATAAATTAATGCATTTAAAAAATTTAGATTGATGTCTGGCATATAATAAGTGTTCAGAAAACGGCAGTTATTATAAAAATTTACATACATTATCTCATTTCAATTTAGTGTAGCACTTAAGAACTTAGGTTCGTCTCTCAGTTTCAGCATTTCTTAGCTGTGAAGCCCTAGGAGACGACCTAACCTCTCTATGTATGCTTCAGTTGCCATACTTGAAATGGGAATAGTGTTGCGATAAATTTTGTAAGATATTCAATTCTGACACCAACTTCAAGAGAGCATGGAGCAAACACATACTAAAGCTTGACCAGTTGTGTGACTGTCCACATGTGGGCAGGTTACTTTTCTGATTTCTTGGGGATAAATAATAAGAGAGCTTACCTTAGAATTACTGTACAGAACACTAAGAGCAATTAGCTATTATTATCACCATTTTTATAGATAAAAAAGTTGAGGATCAAAGAGAGATAAGGGTATAGGCTTTGGAGGAAACCTAGATTCAAGCCCCAGCTAGGCCATTAAATAGCTTTGTGGTCTTGGGCAACTGCTTTAATCTTTCTGAAGCATAATTTCCTTATCTTTAAAATGATGATTAAATGGGCAAGCATTATGGGGTTGTTATAATAATATGAGGTCATGTAAGTAAAATGCTCTTATTATGATCTCTATTTTTTATCTATAGGGAAATGGAAGTTGGGAGAGGTCAGGTGACTTGACCAGGATCATAGTAGAGTCAGTGGCTGATTCAAATTTCAAAGTGTGTCTACCTGCCCCAGACTCCTAGCCTTCTGACACCACACCAAGCCTTCTCTCTGTAAATGGGAGGAAGGCGGATGGGGACTGTTCTGGCCCCCAAGGATCAGGACACATTGGGAAGTGGAAGCTTTCAGTTCTGCTCCAGATCCTCCCCTTCAGACCCTGGATCCACGGGCAGAAATAATGGCTTGCTATGTGGTTGGTAGACCAGCTAGGCACACACATGGGCCAGAGGGAGGGAAAGGGAAAAAAATTGAAAAGCAGTGAATAACTTTATTTTCCCTTTCAAACCTACCATTTATAATCTTAGGCATGTGAGTGAAGACTTGTTTAATAAGGACAAATTTAGGTTTAGTTTCTCCTCCTGCTCCCTTTCTCTTATGCCCAAACTTGATTAATTCTGGGCAGGATGATAGGAGGGAGCATATGAAATGTAAAAAATAAAAAGTAGGTGTCTTCCCCCACTAGACTGTAAGCTCCAAGAATGTAGGTCCACTTATTATCATAACAAGAGGTTATAATACCTAGTACGTAACAGGAGGTTATGAATATTAGCTGAAAATACAAAGTAAGAAATCGGATTACTTAGTTTTCTCATATTTCCTATCTTCTCCTCAAAACACATATCCTATTTCAATTTTTTTTTGCCCCCATTCCCAATACTAGGGTGACTTAAAGAATGATTTTAAAGAAGTAAGATTGAGTTCTGAAGAACCCTGACCACACTTACTCCTTCCTAATATGCCTGTCCAGCTCCTCAATCCCAAACCTTGTCTCCCTTGGCCAGTTTCTCCCAGGTCTCACTCCCTCTTGTGGACTTTCTGATCTTCATTTTGACACAGAAAGAGCTTGGGCCATAAAGGCAGAAGACCCAAGTTGAGTACTGCTTCTGCCTCAGGTAACCCCTCTAAGCCTCAGTTTCCTTAACTATAAAATGGGGCTAAATTATAGCACACACCTCATGGGTTACTGTGAGGATTAAATCGATAACATTTATGTAAGTCACTTAGGACGGGGCCTGGCACACAGCAAGCATTGTATAATCGTTTGTTATGTTACTGTTATTATTTTTAATTGAAGTAAAGCATGCATATAAAAATGCTTTTAATTGTAAAGTGTTATAAAAAATGTAAAAGATTACTATTATGACTTTATAGTGAGTAAATCTTGGGGAGGGGGATATTATCTTAGCCCACGTTCCTTCATAATGCAGAGAACCCTCAGGGAAGCAAATTTCTTCTGACTCACTTTTTCTTAATTGCCAGGGAGTACTTTCAAGAAGAGAAGAAATAGCCTATCACACACACACAAACGCACACCCCCACATGATATTATCTTGTTTGTTTTCATGTTTATGATCTGCCTGTCCCTCCAAACTGGAATGGAAACTCCAAGACAGAGGAAGTTCTATCTGTATTGCTCAGAGTGTGTGGCACAGAGTGGGTATTTTTTTTCGGACAAGTGAACAAATAAAGTTCTACCGCTGATATGCTTGTCAATGTTGGCTGCCTTAGACTCCCAAGAAAGGGGAGGAGAGATAAACGTCTATGAACAATTGAAGACCAGCCTTCTACTTTCAGAACAGAGACTCAGAGCACATGAGCAGATAAAGATAAAATCTCTGCAAAGAGCTTTTTTTCATTTGCCCAGGAAGGCTTCCTGACAGTCTTTGATTTACCCTTGCCCCTCAGTAGAGGCTGTTTTGTGCAGGTTTTAGGCTTCCAATCACAGCTGCGTGAGAGATCCCAACGCTAAAGTGAAGATTGCAAGGCACCCTTGGCCTTGCCAGATGAGAATGCCCAGGGAGCACATATCGGCCCATTATTATGAAAATGTATTAATAATAATATTGTTATTAAATATTTATGAAGTGTTCATGCTCTGCTCAATGGTGACCCGCCCACCACTCCCCCACCCTTCCAGCAACGCCCGGGTCCCTAACCCGGAGTCCCACCAGTCCTCCTGGTGTATTGCGATTGGAGAGAATTGTAACAGGTCGCCCTCGCCTCCTAAGCCGACAGTAACCGCCGGGAACCCAGGCTCCCAGGTTCTCCCGTGGGGCGAGAATCCGCTCCTGGTCGCCACGGGATCTGTATATAGAACGTCTTCTACAGTCTGTACCCCACGTTGGCTCCAGGGACAGAAACCGGGAGGGGCCAGGTGCAAGCTCCCTACGGGGTCTACCTGGCGGCTGCCCCCACCCCTTCCCGGTCCCCGCCGGCCGGCGGGCGGGCGAGGGCGCGGCCCTGGGCTTCCCGCTCCCAGGAGGGCGGCCGCACGCTGTCCCACTCCCAGAGCTCCCTGCTGCCGGGCCCAGCATC